ATTTGATGACAAAGAAGCTGCTCCTGACAGTCACTGTAGAGCTATTGTGACTTTTATTCCATTTTTAATAGTTTTAGTTGCCCATTTTAAGATGTTTTGCATGTACTGTAGCATCTGCCTAGCACTTCAAACATTTTACTATGACATTTAAAAAAAAGCACAAAAACAATCCTCACATATTGTCATGCAGAACAAAAAAATAACTCTTCTATAAAATTGCCAAAAAAGCTTTATGAGTAATATATTGTGCCAAATGATATGATTTTCTCTATATAGCAGTGGCAGTTATTGACTAGACCAGAAATTGTTTGAAAATGATCTGTGAATTTGAATTCCTCATTTTCAAACTAGTCCACGTTTAGTGAATAAATGTACGTTTCTAGAAAGTATGTTTCTAGAAAGTCTGATACATTGATCTTGGTATCACAAACTGTTTGGTTTTGAGTCAATTTTTCAGTAAGGAGTTTAATTTTCGAACGGTGCTTGTGGTGAATTGACAAATGACTTGTAAAACTTAAAAGAACCCAATAGCATTAGGAATACAAACATGTATTCCTAACTCTATGTGGTTCTCCTCCCTATTTAGATTCAGGTTTTTATTTACCTTTTTCCAGGATCTACTGCCTGCTCCACCTCCAGGTGGCGTTGCCCCGCAGGTGTCACTTTCTTGACTTCTCGACTAATCCAATACTTCTCATAGAGCACCGTGCTCATCCAATCAAATGCTTCTCATAGAGAAGCATTAAAATCAATGCTTTCCTATGATCAGCATTTGACAGACATTAAGGGTATCTACATAATGGCAATGTTTTAGATTGTATGACTAAAACGACAGGAGCATGGTTTCCCTTTAAGCCATCTTTGAAAACTGTGCTGGCTAGGGCAGCAAGGCTGCATGTAGGCAACGTTTTGCAAATCAACTTTCACCGCACCACAACTTAATGTTTAGTGAATAAAGCCTCTAATAATGTGTAAATGCCTACCAAATTACACATTTAAGCATATTTAACACTGAATTCACAAGCAAATTGCAAATTTCCCTTGCAGTAGTCATAGATTTAGATTTTTTAATTTATTTATTTAAATGTTTTACTTTTTAAATCAGAAAATCTGGCCTATGATAAAAGGGAGCTGTGCCCAATGAAAACGAATACTCATATATACATCTGAAACTGGCAGTGCACTGTGTTGCTTTTGCAAATTTCTGTAAAATGACACAAATGTTAATGTGAGGTTTGTTTGTTTTTTATTTGTTTTAGAGTGTATAGCCATTGTTTTGGGGTTTTTTTTGTACATTGCAGGGACAATGCAAAAATAATATTATTTTATGAGCATTTTAAAAGCGATACTGAATTTAATAATAACTGTAAATATATTCTCAATGAGAAGACTTTTTATATACACATTTTTAATAAGAATTTTACATTATTTAAAGAGAACCGAAGAATTTTAAAATTGCACTCTAGACACCATAGCCACTTTGTTGTAGTGGGTACAGTGCCAGGAGTCCCCAGGTGCTGTCACACAGTAAGTAGTCACACAGTAAGTAATGACACAGCAATGCTTCCTGCGCCATTTGAACCAAGCATCATAAATGTGTCCAGTCTCTTAGAAAAATAAAATTTTAAACGATTTATTTAAAGTGTTGGTTTGGAAAAAAAATTTAAGCAAATTTCTGCTGTTTTAGACTAAATATTGCATTGGGTTTTTCTATTCACTAAAATTCAGTGGATAGCCCTAATGATTTTTACTTCAGGAATTAAGCACCTTTTCGATGAATAGCTTTAATAATATCTATAAGTATTAACACCAAGTTTTACGTCCCAAAGTGTGTTACCCCGTAACAGTCCAGCAAAACCAAAGAATTCATAAAAAAAAATAATAATAAGAGAATAATAGTGAACTTGTATTTTTTTAGGACAAATGTGCTAATTTATTCTCATAAAACGGTGTTTACATTTTAATTCAGCTGGGTGTTGACAATTACACTGAGCTACACTTGGATGGTAAGAATAAGTTTGCCCCTTGGGCTTGTGTGATAGTAATCGTTTACATCAGATTACGAGGGCCATAGATTATCAACAGAAGCTAAAACGCAAAGCAGGCAACTGATAAAAAGCTGTTTGTGAAATAGAGGGCTCAGTTTCTGTTTTTTTTTTTTCCATGAGACAGATTCTGGACGCAATTTAATAACTTTACACAAACAGTCTAATGTAGGGCTGAGCAACAATAATGGCTCCCATCACTTTCCATATGTATATAAAGACAGATAGGTTAGAGAGAGAGATGTTTAAAATATTAAATTGTCTTATGTAAAAAGAATGCCGTCTCTGGGTTCTGGGACATCATGAATGGTGATGCCAGTTGCAGCAATCCCATAATAAAAATGGAAATGTTACAAATATTTAATATCATGTTGCTTTTCTTTGTTTTGTTTGTTTTGTATATGTTGTAGCTAATACGTTCCCCTACTATTCTTGCTGCCCTGGAATGGAACACAAATCAGGCAGCACACCATACAGATCGGGGCATTATTTACATGAGAATTTTTCCAAATGAGTTATTTTTGCCTACATTTTGTCATTGGGTTTTAATTCATTACAGTTCAGAGGTTAGTGAATAAACCGCTATTTCTTTCTCACAGCATAAACGTACGGACATAATTGACTATAACAGCTGCAAAATACAGTGTGACTCTCGTGAGTCTCTGGCAGCCCTGAACACATATGTCCCAAAAATGTTTCAATTATATAAGGTCCCCTGCACTCTCCCTCTCTCCCTTTCTCCCTCTCTTTATATATATATATAAAATACACACACAATCCAGTTTATCCAAATACAATACTGATGTTGGTTTCTCCTGTTTCCCCCGCAGTTCTTATTACCTGTGTTCTCTAAAGCACAGGTCTTCTCACAGCATTTCCATAACTTTACATAAATATTTGATTTTGCCTCAGTGTGCTACTTCATATACAAGCAATTTATATTAAGGCCTTAATGATCCTTTAAGGGGTGCCAGAGACAGATACTCAGCTACTGAAAGTGTACATAGTAATATTTAACTCTTCTGATGCAGACCTTGGACTGAAAAGGCACTGAATCTTGTTTTTTTATTTTAATTTTTTGGACTAAAGCCGTAATGGTGTTACTGACTGTAAATATAGCTTTTGTCATTTACAAGGTCAATCTTATCATGCATAATGTTTTAATTAATATATTTAAGGTTAGTATTTTGTATTTTCGGTTGTGCTATTTAATTTATCTGCTTCCCTGACAGTGGCGTCGATAGGGGGGGGGGCCAGAGCGAGCCATGCCCCCCCCTCCCCTCCATCATGCTGTGCCCCCCCCATATGCCCTCTCCAAGTGCTGGCACTGTTTCAAGGGCCAGCCTTGGGGTTGAGCTCATACAGCTCGGTTACCCGGGTGAAGGACTTCATTATTTTCCATCCAGAATTTTTTTTTTTTTAAACATTGTGGTGGTGGGGCGTGGCTAAAAGACAGCAGTGGCAGGGCTAAATGATGGTGGGGCGGGGTTAAAACGCCCTAGAAAACATGCCGGATGACTGCTGCACAGGAAGGGGGAAGCAGGAAGGAGTCCCTGCTTCCCCAACATCCAGATTCCAGGAGCTGCACTGCTTCCACTCCTCCCTTCCAAGTTCCAGCCCATAGTGTGTTACTGTAACTGTATGTGTGTGTAACTGTATGTGACTGTAACTGTGTGTGTGACTGTAATTGTGTGTGACTGTAACTGTATGTGTGTGTAACTGTATGTGTGTGTCTCTAATTGTGTGTGACTGTAACTGCATGTGTGTGACTGTAACTGGATGTGTGACTGTAACGCTGTGTGTGTGTGTGACTGTAACTGTATGTGAGACTGTAACTGTATGTAACTGTATGTGTGACTGTAACTGTGTGTGTGACTGTGACTGTATGTGTGACTGAAACTGTATGTGAGACTGTAACTATGTGTGTCTGTCTGTCTGCCGGTGTGTGTGACTGTAACTGTGTGTGACTGTGTCTGACTCTGTGGGTGTGACTGTCTGCCTATGCGTGTGACTGTTTGCCTGTGTGTGACTGTCTGCCTCTGTGTGTGTAACTGTCTGCCTGTGCGTGTGTGACGGTTTACCTGTGTGTGCGACAGTTGGTGTGTGTGTGTGTGTGTTTGTGACTGTCTGCCTCTGTGTAAATGTATGCCCATGCGTGTGTGTGAATGACTGCCTGTGTGTGACTGTTTGCTTGTGTGTGTTTGTGTGTGTGACTGTCTGCCTGCCTCTGTGTGTGTGACTGTCTACCTCTATGTGTGTTTGTGTGTGTGTGACTATCTGCCTGTGTTTGTAACTGTCGGCCTGTGTGTGTGTAGCTGTGTGTGTGTGTGTGTGTGTGTGTGTGACTGTCTGCCTTTGTGTGTGTGCCTGTGTGTGTGACTGTGTGTTTCTGTCTGCCTCTGTGTGTGTGACTGTGCCTGCGTGTCACTGTAACTGTGTGTGCATCACGGTCTGCCTGTGTGTGTGACTGTAAGCCTGCGTGTGTGTGATTTTTCGCACAGGGCGCCTAAAGCTGACCCTGGCTATATCAATCCCAAAGTGCTTGCATGGATATCCCCGGTAACTCCTACAGTCATGGAGGAAGCAGTTTATGGACCCCCGAGGCGGGCGGCTGTGAGCACATCAGAAGCAACGAGGTTGCTGTAATCCTCCTGCTCTGCTACCTTGCGCGCCGTCTACTGATGCCAGGAGCCAGAATATGACATCAGTAGACGGCCGGCGAGGGAGCAGAGCAGGAGGATTACAGCTCCCTTGCCGCTTCTGATGTGCTCACAGCCACCCATCTCACAGCATTCCCACTGGACCCCAGTGACAGATCCACTCCAACTCTCCCAAAGGTAGGGAGGCTGGGTGGGCAAATTAAAATAATAATAATAGTAATTAGTGTGTGTGTGAGAGAATGTATGTCTGTCTGTCAGTGAATGTGTTAGTGTGTGTAGGTCTGTCAGCCCACAGGTAAGAGAAAGGGAGGGGGGGGGGGATAAGCCCAATTTCATTTAAACAGCTCACCCCCTAGCACTTATTCAATACTACACGCACTACATAGACACTACTACATACACTACACAGACACTACTACATACACATACACTACATAAACATTGCATTCACTAGACACTGCATACACCACACAAGCACTAGTAGATACACTACAAACACACAATATATTTAATATACACACTGCATACAATACACACTACATTCAAGTCACGAGAGAAGGGGGAAGAAAAGACATGAAAGGGAGGGGAACAGAGACATGGATGGCAGGGGGGGGGAGGGTCAGAAAAGACATGGATTATTCAACCCATGGTGTAGATGCGAACTCAACGGACAGTGCGGCTAATTCTAAGGTGTGACACATTACCTACCTGGCTGAGACTGCAGTTTACAGAGGGATTAAGGAAACAAAGTGTGTGTGTGTGTGTGTGTGTGTCTACATACACACATACATACACGGGTTTATAACTGCCCCCCTACTTTTGTCCCTGGCCCAACATGTGCCCCCATCTAAAAATGAATCCTAACGATGCCACTGATCCCTGAAGGTTAGTTACTAAAGTGGGAATTGTTGTGAATGCGTATAAGGTTATTTAGCAAAGTGAGAATCATTAGGAATTGTAAGTGAATTCAAAGTATAATTCATATTTAGGGTCAGAGTAGCCTAAATTTTTTTCGAGTTTTGCTGTTTTAGCGTTACATTTGAATTTCTCTTTGATTTTCTGACAATTCTAACTTTAGTTAATAACCCTGTAAGTGATGTTAAAAACATATGCCAAAATATTAAACTGAAAACATAGATGGCTTTTTCTCATTTGTGACCTAAAATTTCAAATTAGCTTTGAATTCTCACTAATTCACAGCTGACTACACAAGATTATTTTCAGTTTGTGTATTCACCAGAAAGTGTGAATTCTTTGTTAGATGGGACATCATTTTAAATGTGCTGCCTATCAAATCCTTATCAATATAATATGCCCAGGTGGATCAGGCCATTCTAGCCATAAAAATCCTTATCAATTTTATATGTCCAATATCAGACCATTCTAGCCATAAAAAAGAAAGACAATGTAATATTTTAATTATGCATTTTGTAGCGGTTTGCTTTGCACAGCAAATACATAGCATGTGACTTTAAAATCGCACCATGTTATTTTTTCCTGGCAGGTATATTTTCAATGTGTGATAATTACAACTTTTGCAAAATTGCAAGGTCAGTACACCATTTAAAAACAAATAACCTTTCTTTCAAGTTAGGTGACTGTGCAGCCCCTTTAAATATACATACATTATAAAGATGCACTCGGTGGGTAGCACTCATTTTTATACACCTACGAAATATGCATTTTTCAGAAGTGCAAGATAGATTTTTCTAAAATACCCTTAATAAAATGTTACATATAAATAATGATCCTAAAGCAGAGCTGTCACCACCTGGGGACTTTGCATTGTTTTCTAAGACCCCTGACTGTGCCAACGCTGCTGGGGGGCAGGAGGCAGCAGGCAAAGGTGGGCGTGGGCGCCGCTATCTTCTCTCAGGGGGTTCTCTTCTCATATGCGCGTGAGTACAGAATTAAAAATCTATGGAGGATCCTGCGACATACTGCATAGACAGAGCCAATTCCCTGCAGCTGTCATTGATGGCTGTGGGATTTACACTTTTCCACGGGGATAGCTCCACCCAGTGTCAAGAAGTGTCAGTCTCATACTTTGTGTTATGTTTTAAGTTAAAAATGGAAGAAAACCGAGAAAAAGAAAGACAGAGTAGGAAAGTGGAAGTGATTAGAAAAAGGTATTACAAGTAGTATATTATTGATAGGAATTGGAAAATTGAAGGCTAAACTGAAGTGTAAAAATATTAACATGTAGTCCTATACTATAGTGTTTTAGTAACTATTTAAATTCAGCCCGACCACCCCAGAATGAATAAAAAAAAAAAAAAAAATTACCTTTATTTCCCTTAGCGCAGGTCCCTACCTCCACAGCTGAGAGCATTACTCCTTATATTCTCAGCCAATCCAATTCATCACCATAGGGAAACATTGGGCGGTTAGTGCATGCGCAGCAAATGGTCCTGATGAACCAATCAGCATCTCCTTATAGAGATGCATTGAGTCAATGCAACTCTATAGGGAGCGTTCAGCATCTCCATGCAGAGCGTGGAGACGTTGAATGTCGGTCGTGCAACCTTTTGCAAGTTCGTCTTGTGGATGTGACAGCCACTAGAGGTGGACTTTGGATGCAGTGTACACACTGACTTTTCTCTTATAAGGCAACATTTTTCTCGCTCAGCCTGCAGGGACAGTTTCTATGACCCAGAACAAGTACATTAAGTTGTGGTTGTTCTGGTGCCTACAGTGTCAAGTTTAGTGAATCAATTTTCCCTAATGAAAATCTGAAAAAAAAAAAAAAATTAAAGCAAAATAGCCAAGCAATGACAATAGGTGAGCTGCAAAATATTTACACATTAGCTGTGTTGACCTCAATATTTCTGTTCAGATTTGCTACAATTCAGAGTTAAGTTAATATACCCTATAGTAGACTATTTTGTTTTTCTATTCGATGTCAAATCTTTAAAGGTGCTCATTTTTAGTGACAGTGGGAAGTAGCTTTTTTTTTTTTTAATAGATAGATATTTTTTTTTAGTAACTGTAGAGGGTGTGTTTTGTGATCACCCCACACTGGTTTTGGAATGTTATCCTATTAGGTTACATTGCCAATGTGTGACTGATGCTATATAAAATATTTATTTAACTGTTTACCGTATTTGCTTGCTTGTAATAATTATTGCATCTTTAATTTTTTTATTATTATTATTGACTACCCAACATTCGGCTTAAATAAAGTTGCTATTTTCAATGCCTTCTAATTATTTTTTGTTAACCATATGAATTGTACATCCCCATACCTAGCAGGACTGACAAGTACCGCAGGATTGTCACATGTCAGATACTTATACCATATACCATCACTATGACTTATGGCGTCAAGAGCTATTGTAAATGAATATTAAGTATATACCCTGCGGTAGCTCTGATTTCTGCTGTCAGAAAGATTCACCTAGCCGACTGTTCTGAGCTTTTTCACAGCTTTCATCCATCATTTGCCCAGTACTTTTCAATTCTATTAAAATGCACCGGGGTGCACTCATTCTTGTTAAAAAGTCATTTTTCAAGTAAATGGACTAAAAATCAGTCCCTTCATTACAGAATTTTGAAGTTCTGCACCTTGCAGTGAGTGATATAAAGACATTTTGAAAAATATAATGATTTCCACTAACAGACAGGTGCGACTGCAGAGATAGCAGTGTTTAATTTGTTGTGAAACACATCCTGAAGATATAAAACTTTCTCAAGACCAGCAGACAATGCTCTTCCAAACTAGGTTTTTAAACACAGAGGTACAACTTCATGGATCCTAGCGGCTACAAACCCTAGAAGTTGATTTGACATGCACGTCTTGTAGTCTACAGTAGCAGGTACATGCAAAGTTACCAAGTCATGCTGTGGAAATTAATGCTTTTCTAAAAACATCTTCCATAATCAGTGTTGAGCTGCAGACCATATGAAAGTGAATTTATTTTACATAAATTATTTCTAAAGTGCTACTTATTACTAAAGTGCAAAGAATACCAGACATGTATTTGTACAACAAAGTGTATCCTTAAAGGATCACTATAGGGCCAGGAACACAAACATGTATTCCTGACCCTATACTGTTAACACCACCATCTAACCCCCATGGGCCACTCATGCCTCCATAAATATAGCAAAATCTTACTGTATTCAAGCCTGAAGCTGTAACTCTGCATGCTGTTAGACTCAGAAAAACAAGCAGTCCGCTGACATCATCAGAAGTGGTAGACTGATCCAATCACAGTGCTTCCCCATAGGATTGGCTGAAGTTATCACTAGGATGTAATGTAAACACTGCATTTTCTCTGAGTGTGCACTTCCTGTTAGTCCGGCCGGGTACAGGAAACAAAAGCTACCTGTACCCGCCGACTATACTGGGCTTGGCCACGCTACAACACAGGTAGGGGAGGAGGGAGAAGAAAGAGGGGGGGAGAAAGAAACAGGGAGGGAGGGAGAAAGAAACAGGGAGGGAGGGGGAGAAAGAAAGAGGGAGGGGGAGAAAGAAACAGAGGAGGGAGGGAGAAAGAAACAAACAGGGAGGGAGAGGGGAGAAACAAACAGGGAGGGAGGGGGGAGAAAGAAACAGGGAGGGAGGGGGGAAAGAAACAGGAGGGGGGAGAGAAAGAAACAGGGGGAGAAAGAAACAGGGGGAGGAAAGAAACAGGGAGGGAGGGGAGAAAGAAACAGGAGGGGGGGAGAAACAGGAGGGGAGAAAGAAACAGGGAGGGGGGGAGAAAGAAACAGGGGGGGGGGAAGAAACAGGGAGGGAGGGGGGAGAAAGAAACTAACAGGGATGGGGGAAGACATTGACAGGGAGGGGAATTGACGGGGAGAGAGAAATTGACAGGGAGGGGGAATGAGAGTAACAAGGGAGGGGGAGAAGAGAGTGACAAGGGAGGGGGGAGAGATTGACATCCATCACACACACCCAATCACACACAAAGACAATGAACCCCTTGCACACAGAAAAACACACATTGCATTACACACACAATGCATTACACACACACACACACGCAATGCAAGCCTTACACACAATGCATCCCTTACACACACAGAAACACACAATGCATTCCTTACACACACTCAATGCACCCCTTACACACACTCAAAGCACCCCTTACAGACTCACACACTTCATCCCTTACATACACAGAAACACACCTTGCAGCCCTTACACATGCAAACACAGATTCACACAATGCATTCCTTACACACAAATCAGGACATCCCCTACACACTCCACCCCCTGTGAACAAACTCATTGGTGGAACATGAAGGTGGACCCTGGGATCCAGACCTTGAGCTGTGTAAAGTGCCCCCAAAAAATGGAGCTGCTTCTCGTTCTCACAGAACATTGATTTTTGTGACCACAGTTACAAACAGCCTCCAGAGATCCTGTTATACACCAGACCAGTGGAGCCAGACTGCAGCTAGAGCCCATCATCATCCTCATCTGCTTGTAAGTAGGTAATCTAGTATATTATTCGTGGCACTAATCTCTAATTTACCTCACATTAAAGAAACACTATAGTCCGCAGAACCACTGCAGCTTAATGTAGTGGTCCTGGTGTCTATAGCCTGTCCCTGCAGGCCTTCTAATGTAAACACAGCGGCACTGCAGCACTAGCGTTAGTTAACAGACAGGTCATATGGGTGGGGCATTGTGATGTTACGGGGGGTGGGGGGGGTGGCGGCAAACTTTACTTTTGCCTAGGGCGGCAAAAATCCTTGCACCGGCCCTGCTTATATAACAAAGAGTATCCTTATGACTATATCCTACAAATGAAAATATACAAACGGATATAAATAAAAGGAGGTGGAATAGATATGAGATAACTCACCAATAACAAAAACAAAATAATAAAAATGGTGAGAATCCACTTTCACTCTAGTAGGGGCTTAGTTAAAATCCACCCCATTTTTTAAATTAAATATCTAAATCTCAAGCCAACATATATTCCAAAACAAGATTTAATAATTCATTTCATCTAAAAACCTTCTAAAATATATATAAAGAGAAAAAAAGGAAGAGGGAGATAACTAGCACATTCTAAATTTATTCTTTGTTTAGCAACTTTCCATTTTTTATCTAATGTAAAAACATAATTTTTATATGTTTGAGAAATCTCAAATAAGCAAATAAGTTAACTTATGCATGAAGATGTTGGAACAATGCTGTGTTTCTCCTTGAAACTTGATTTGAATAAAATGTCTCTTTTAAACTGTGATACTTTGATACTTTGAATAACTGTGTTGGCGATTGTGTTGAGAGGATTAACATGTAAATATTGTCTAAAAAACATACTCGTTTTCCTGGCACTATAGTGCCCTGAGGGTGCCCCCACCCTCAGGGACCCCCTCCCGCCGGGCTCTGGGGAGAGGAAGGGGTTAAACACTCACCTTTCTCCAGCGCCGGGCGGGGAGCTCTCCTCTCCGCCTCCGATCCTCCTCTTCTGCTGAATGCGCACGCGCGGCAGGAGCTGCGCGCGCATTCAGCCGCTCTCATAGGAAAGCATTTACAATGCTTTCCTATGGACGCTGGCGTCTTCTCACTGTGATTTTCACAGTGAGAAGCACGCAAACGCCTCTAGCGGCTGTCAATGAGACAGCCACTAGAGGATTTGGAGGCTGGATTAACCCTATTATAAACATAGCAGTTTCTCTGAAACTGCTATGTTTATTAAAAAAAGGGTTAATCCTAGAGGGACCTGGCACCCAGACCACTTCATTAAGCTGAAGTGGTCTGGGTGCCTAGAGTGGTCCTTTAAGACCCACCAACAGTCCAGGTTTTGTCAGTATCTCCATTGGAATAAAACAGGGAAATACATAAATCTTGGATTGTTTGTGGGCCATGAGGACTGTTTTGGGAACCACTAGTATAAGAAAAGGCGCCGATTAGAAAGAAAAGGAGGAGGGACACAGTCAGTTGTTACAGCGTTAAAAGGAGAAGACACATCAGATGAAACCTATTTGATGAAACGCTTCACATAGGATGAAGGCCCTATTGCATCACGTGATCGGGGCCTCAAGGTTTCTTGATGAACAAGCGAATCTTGGCTTGGACTTTGTTGGGACTCGCCCAGTAAAGCGTTCATTCATGGTTTCTTTCATTTTGAACCCACAATACTTTCATGTAAGCATTCTGATTTTAGCCTGTTATTGGTAATAAAGTGTAACATATTCCTCCTCATCTTGCGGTATTTGCACCCAACGGGCGGATTTAGTGGATTGGAGGGGATATGGGCCTGCTGAACGTTCTTGGGTTCTGGCCTCTGACAACCATGCTGGCCGGAAAATTCATTATTTTCATGCCAAATTTCCTCTCAAGCCTGGTCCTGCCCGCCCGGTGGGCGGTCTTCAGGTGGGGGGTAATGTAACATATTCCTCCTCACCTTGCGGTATTTACAACCAACGGCCGCGCGTCTGTATAACTGACTCTTGCAATACGTTGATGGACGCCGGCCGCTGCGGATCTACAACAAATTATACCCCCACATCCGCCCACGTTAATAATGATGTCGGCATGTGTGTGACGTCTCGTGGCAGACACACGCACACGTTTTGGGGTGAAAGGCCATTTTCGGCCAATCAGAACTGTAAAACACTTATTTAAGTTCAAATTTACTTTTCCTCATTGCCCTTTCATGGTTTCCTTAGTGGTTGTCCAAGAGTGTATTCCTGAGCGTTTATTTCTGTTTTTTGACTTTGGCTTTATTTGACTTCCCTGTATTCTGGTATCCCTAACTTCTGGCTTTCCCTTTTCCCATTTTGTGCCCCCCGACCTCGGCAAGTATCCTGACTATTCTTTGGTACGTTAAGTCCGGCCATTCTAAGGCCTGGTAAAACGTTACCTTTTAGTCCTAGGTGTGACACAATTATACGTGCTGGATCAATCAGTAATCCTGACATAAAGACAGTGTAACACTATTTGGGCCCCCTGTGTTTTTTTTTTTGTTTGTTTTTTTTTAATTCTTTATTTTTGCCGTGCATATTGACAGATTTAGGTTTACAATACCATGACAGTAAAATTGAAGTGACATCATAGCTCACAATGGATATTTGCAATTATGTGCCTGCACTGTAAGGTGAGGATTAAGGTCTAGTCATTCCAGTAGGTGTGTGTTCCGTAGGTTAGGTTGAAATGTTTGTGGTTCTTGACTACATTTGTGGCCGAGTTCTCGTCTGTTGCATTATGTGT